CTATGTCTGCTAGGTGGCTAAAGTCTGATCCTCAGAGCCTATGGTTTGGACGGTCAGCAACGCTTGGGCCCACAGGGTGTTGTTGTTTTTTTTTAACGTATTTTATTCTTATAGAGAAGTTACAAAAATAGTAAAGTCCTCAATATCCTTTATATGATTTCCCCTAAAATTAACATCATGGTAATTTATAAAAACCAGGAAATTACCATTGCTACAATACTATCAAGTAATCTGTAAACCTTACTGTAATTTCACTAGGTTTTTCACTAATGTAGAGAACTTTTTTTTTTTCAATTACTCATAAAAATTATTTTGGTTTTGTGGTTGTCATTGAGAACATACATAGCAGACCATTTATCATATGTCAATGGCGTTGATTATATTCTTCAAGTTGTACAACCATTCTCAGCCTCGTTTACTGAGTTGTTCCTACCCAATTAACCAAAACTTACTGCCCCCTGAATTTCATATCTCATCTTTCAAGTTGCTCTTGTCAACTTGATCCCATATAGGTAGATCTTGAAAGGGCACAAATTACAAATAAACTTATGCTAAAGGGAGATGTATCTGGCAGCTGCATGTAGACTGTACTAGAGAAACTAGAGAGTTCATGTAAAAAATAATGAAGACATTGGCAAGGGAAGTCTAACTAACCTTTAGAATGATGTGACATTGACTGGTAAATTAATATGTTAAAGATAGATTTCACGCAAAGATAATCACACAAAGATTAAGCACTTGGTTGTTAATGGAAAGTTTGGCAGCTTGAACCCACACAGCAGCTCCAGGGAGAAAGACCTGGAGATCTGCTCCCCAAAAGATTATAGCCTTGAAAACCCTACAGGGCATTCTGCTCTCTCATGGGGTCACCATGCATTGAAAATCGACTCAGTGGCACTTTACAGCAACAACAATAAATTGAATCTTGAGGGTAAAGAATGGCAAGGACTCAAATATAGATGCTGTGATTTTGATGGGTAGAATGGTGGTGATCTGGGCAGAGTTAGTGAATACAGGAAGCTGAAATGTTAGAAAGGAAAGAGAATTCACTTATACCCAGAGATAACAACTGTGATAAGGTAAGATTTGATGGCTTTTCCAAAGGAGAGAATCTGGAAAGAGTAGCGGTTTAAGGACAGAGCTTTATCCATTTTGTAGAATTTCCATTTGTAGGCAGAATGACACAGAGAAGTCTGCGAATGAGTAGTTAGAAAGGAAGGAAAGAACTAGGAAAGTCAATAAAATAGAGGATAGATGAGACGAGTGTTGTTTTTTTTAAAAAAAGAATGATAATCAGTTCTGGAAAATGTTCCACAGAAGTCATAGAAGATAAAAAATGAGAATAGGCGGTTTAACTCGGCAGGCAGTAGGAAGTCTTCATCTTTCTGGAGAACAGAGAGATGTCAGTAAAAAACATTGTAGAGAAATTTCACGCAAAAAAATTAGACTTTTACAGAAAGAGATAGAGGGAGAGAGAGACAGATACCGCAATCACCATGAGAACAATTCATAGTCAAGGAAAATTTCTTCTAAAAAGAAGAAAGACTTTGCACTACCAGACCAAGGAATGGATCCAACAAAGGAGCAGATATCCAAAAGTTATGATTGATGAACTAAGCTCCCTGAGGATGCAGGCAAAAATGAAATCAAGGACCTACTGGGAGAGAATGTTCTTGGAGAGGATGAGAATAACCTGAGCCCAAAGGAAAAAAATTTGTGATGTGAATGAAAATTTTCAGGTGGAGAAGATGAAAAGTATGAGGGGAGCTCCTGTCTAATGCCTATTAAAGTATGTGGTAAGAAGATCTGTTTTGCTGGCACACATACCTGTTTTTACCCCCTGTTGTTAAGTTCCATTGGGTCAGTTCTGACTCATAGAGACTCTGTAGCAGGTTGCCAAGGATTGACAGGTGGGTTTGAACCACAGACCCCGTGGATTGCAGTCCAGTGCTTATTCTGCAGTGCCACACTAGGACTCCCATTTTTACCCACTGTTGTTGTTGTCAGTTCTGACTCAGAGATTCTGTAGAGGGTTTCCAAGGAGTGGCTGGTGTGGGTTTGAACCACTGACCCTGTGGATCGCAGTGTAGTGCTTATTCTACAGTGCCATACCAGGTCTCTGTTTTTACCCACTGTTATTGTTAAGTGCCATGGAGTTGGTTCCCACTCATAGTGGCCCTTTTTAGGATTTCCAAGGAGCAGCTGGTGGGTTTGAGCACCCTTGGTGTAGCAGACCATTGTTTATCTTACAGTGCCACACCAGGACTCCTTTTATCTACTTTCGTTAAATGCCATCGAGTCAGTTCTGACTCAGAGTGACCCAGTTTAGGATTTCCAAGATTGTGGTTAACAGTCTAGCACTGACCGTACAGCACCATACTAGGACTCCATTGTTGTTGTTGTGAACTGCCGTTGAGTCAGTTCCAACCCGTAGTGACTCTGTATATGGTTTCCGAGGAGCAGCTGGTAAACGTGAACCACTGACTTTGCAGTTCAAACAGTTTTGCAGTCTTGTGCATTAACCCACAGCGCCACATCAGGACTCCATTTGTTGTTGTTGCTAAGTGCCACTGAGTTGATTCCGACCCATAGGAACCCTGTATAAGGTTTCCAAGGAGCAGCTGGTAAGATTGAACCACTGAACTTGTAGTTCAAACGACTTTGCAGTCTGCTGCATTAGCCCCCAGTGCCACACCAGGAGTTCATTAGAAAGGTTTAAATGAACCTTATCCAGTAGCCAGAACATTTATTTTGCAAATGCATTTTTTCTTATTTTCTAGGGATATTTCATTTCTGTATGATGTTAAATACATAAAAGGAGAAGCTAGGGAGAATATGGTTTGTCCGCCACGTGAAAACCGTGCATTACAGTCAAATGATGGTATCATTGTGCCTCATAAGGTAAGTCAGGTATTTGCCAAATCATTCTCTCTCCTCTCTATTTAAAAAATTTCCTCCCTGTAGCATAGCAACAACCCACACTGCTTGTCATTCTCAGAGTACTTTGTATTTATTTCTGAAAAAGAGTATTTAATAGGGAACTATCAAAGGTATTTTAAGCCATTTTCTAAGTTCCAGTTATCCATTTTATTCCAGAAAATAAAATAGAGGAAACTAAATGTTTTCCCTTTAGAAATTCACAGATCTAGTTGTAGAATTCTTGTTTTGGGGATCTTGCTGAGGTAAATTTTAAATTTCCTACTTAATTTTTTTAATGTAGAAAAATTTAAAATAAGAACAAGCATCATAGTCATTTTTACAATGATAGGAGAACAGAAGAGCAGTTTAAATATATTTTTTAAATCACAATATAGATGGGTTAAGTCACTAAATCCAGTCTCATGTTTTCAATAAAAATATACAGTAGTTTAAAAAGGCAGGAATGGGTACCTGTGATTAAAGGAAGACAGGCACAATAGCATTAAAGATAGTTAGAATTGACTGTGGCCACTGTCTGTGCTTTATTCTCAAAAGAAACTTTCCTAACTAAGGTTAGCATTTTCTTAAAAAAACAAAACCAAAAACTGAAAGTATGAGAAAAAAAAAAATCACAGTTTTGTCTTTTTAGTTTACGGCTCTTTCAGAAAGATTTTCTCTTTAATTTCAAAGTAAAGAGTCAAATAATTTCTGAGTATATGGAACAAACACATGTAACTGTTACTAGAACCATGGTTGTTCTTCAGTTGAAGTGCGTGGTTTTGTTTTTTAATGTTTTCTGTATTTTAGTATATTCTGCTAAAAGTTTTTGCCACTTTCCTTGCAACACTTTACTAATATTGTTATTTCTCTAGTCAAAGTCTTCCAATTTAGTAAATAGTATACCTTTAAGATATGAATTAGGATTTATGTAATTCATTTTTTTTTCCAGCTATTAATACATGTTTCTTTTCTTTTTTAAGCCTATGAAATTAGCAGATACTTTGATTCCTGAAGAATTTCATATTGTGTCAAATACAGGAGTTACAGGCTTGGA